TAGCTCGTGGCCGGAAGAGAAGATTAGTCATTTTGAGGGGGAGGGGAGGTTAACGTTTTTGATTAAAGATTACGATGGCACATGAGTTTTAAAAAATAATGAAGTGCACTGATAAATTATTTATAATAAACACTACAGTATTCCTTTTAAAAATAAGAATTTTCAATTTTGATTTCATGGTGACTTTAACATTGTTTTAACCTTTACAACTAGAAAAACGCAATGTCCATTCAAATTAAAGGTTGGTACTTGACTTTATTAATCGTTAAAGTAAATGTATAAATTCAAGGGTGGGGGTAAAGGAGTAGGTATCTTGGTGAATGGGACCTTAAGAGCAGAAAATGCACCTTTTATCGCAATAAAAAACAAGCTCAATATCATTTTTACGATTTTTAATGAAATATGAATTTTGAATAATCAAAATTAGTTTGTGTCTGCTTATTCTATTCATCAGTGTTTGAACCATTAAAGAAGAAACTGCATTTTAATTTCTGGGTTAAAAAAAAAAAAAACGAAAAATGAATGGACGCCAAAGTACACGGACCCTTAAGACAGGGCATTTTTTAATTTTTCTTAGATGAAAATGAGGCTGTGAGGGATAAACCTAGTTTGTACAACGGCACACACTGTGTATAAAAGCCCTACATGTACTTTCCATAAGTCACAGCCAACTCACACCGGTTTGCATTTATAGTTTAATAGTTTAATGCATTTATAGTTACATTAATTACAATAAATTACATTATGTAAGGAATAATTGATGACGGGCTGTTGAATTATTAGAAAATAATGCACACCCAAGGTAATTTTGGACCCATAAAAACTATTGCCGCAAAGATGTTAGAAAAATGATTTTTCTTTGAAGCTAGAAACTGCCACTAATACAAAAGCAAAAAAATAATAAACTAATGTAATAAAACATTCTCAAGCTTACTGAAGGCAAGTAAACACTCCAAGTATTACTTACAAGCTAAATGATAAATAAATATATTACTCAAAAATACAAATTAAATAGTTTTTTAGTTTTTTTTTAGTTTTTCAGTAGTAAAGGCTTCTACAGAAATAGCCTACTACAGACATTTCATGAAGTAATAAATGTAAAAAATAATCTTCACTGTATACATGAAATATAGATGATTCTTTTTAAAGTTAATAAGTGATTCAGTCAAGAGCAGTGAGTGATTTTCTCATTTTCTTTTGTTTGATTAATATTTATGACAGAGTTGATGCAGGTTTACGCTGTTGCTTTAAGATCTGACGCATAGATCAAATATTTTGACACATCCGTATTTCTCCCAACTGTTCAAGTTCACTTAAGACAAAACTGACTGCATTTACATGAATAGTGTCCAAGACGGGCATTTTGACATAACTTTTCGTGTAAGTGTGTAGCAGTAACAGAACTTAAGAGAACTTAAGCAAAAGAGAACTTGGCATTCGCACACTGGGCCCTATTTTAACGATCTAAGCGCATGGTCTAAACTGCACGGCGCAGGTGCACTTAGGGCGTGTCCAAATCCACTTTTGCTAGTTTAACGATGGGAAAAGCGGTCGGCGCGCCCGGAGCATGGTCTAAAAGGATTGTCCCTATTCTCTTAATGAGTAATGGGTGTGTTTTGGGCATAACATGCAATAAACCAATCAGAGTCTCATCTCCCATTCCCTTTAAGAGCCAGTTGTGCTCGTGCCATGGCGGATTTGCTATTTACACAGTGGAATTTGCAAGCGCAAAGACAGAATGCGTCTCATGTAGGCATTTCATATAATAATCTTTTACATTGCAATCCTTTAATTTTTAACATTTGGCATGTTTGTGTGCTGCTGTGCATCCCTGTGTGTGTAATAAGCAGAGTGTATGCGCGCTGTGGACCCGCCTATACTAACGCCATTGATTTTAGACCAGGTTTTTGTTGGTCAATGGCACAGTCTATTTCAGTTGCCTCAAAATAGCAACGCGCCAGCAATGCGCCTGAACACACCTCGTTTTCAGACCAGCGCACAAATGGGCGCAAATGCATTTGCTATTTAAAGAACGTGGCGCAGGACGTGAAAATGACAACTGCGTCAGGCTGAAACTAGCAAAAAACACTCGCGCCTGGCGCCGCATTGCGCCAGGTGTATAATAGGGCCCACTGACTGAGAGGCGCGTTCTGTGAGCGCACTTTCGGTGTGTGAGCACAGAAACCCGTCGGCTTTCAAGTACTGGTCAAGACTTAAAAACACATGCAAATACCGAATATCACTTTTGTGACAATTCCTGGACTCGGTTGGACTCGGACATATTTTCCAAGTCCGAAAGGCTCGAGTCCGAGTCAAGTCCGAGTAAAAATGCATCCGAGTAAAAATGCATCTGAGTCCGTGACAAGTCCGAGTCCTTTAAAAAATTGTACTCGAGACCAGACTCTGTGCATATGCACGCTTTATAAATGAGGTCCCTGGTCCTTCAGTCCTTCGCTTAGGCCTAGAGAATGAACTGATGTTATAAGGAAAGCATGAAGCCACGGTGAGGTAAGGCGATCTGCTAGCTTATCTGGTTGAGAGCAATGCAGTGCTTCTCTGATATAAAGACTACTGTGGGACATGGGACATGGGACAACCCCCCCACCCCCTCTCACCTCAGTCATGATATTGAGGGACATTCACTCCCCCCACCTACAATCCCTGCCAGTACAAGTCCGGTACAACGACTGCCCCCCAGTCATGTTTTGTTATGGACCTCTCTTAGGAATAACCCTCTTTACTCTCTTGGAGGTATAGAGCTTGGTGAATGAGATTTGAAGGGTAGAACATAAATGCATCCCAAGGGAATGTCTTAGGGTTACACCACCATACTTCAGGCATGTCTGCACTTGCATCTCCTTTCTGACAATTTAAATTGTGTTCCTGTAATGCCAACACCATGACACAGCATCGCATCTCAGAGAATTGGGTTATATTCTTTTGAAGTTTCCATTTCTGAAAAAAAAAAAAACCTCCCATTTTCCAGTACAAGTGATTTCTGAAGGAGATGATTTCATGTGATACTGAAGATTGGAGACATGGCTGCTGAAAAATCAGCCTTCCCATCACTGGAATATATTAAAATGTTGAAATATAAAGTTATTGTAAATTGTTTTACATTTTAGTAATATTACATTATATTACAGTTTAACCTGTATTTTAATGAATGGGAAGAAATAAAATGAATGGAAAAAAAGCCCTTCACTGTGGTCACTGGAGAAGTGGACAATTGCCTTGGCTTGATACTAACATTGGTCTTGCAGTTAGCATACTGAGGTCACATCAAGGAAGAACTAGACCCCATTGTGCTATGGTACAGTTCCTTTACAATATCAACTAGAGTGAAACATTTGTGTAAACCTACATGAATAGCAGCAATGATGTTCATCCCACACTCGTAAATCCTGGATACACACAGAAAAATAATACATTAACTTTATAGATTACAGAACCAGAAAAAAAAGATGTAGCCTATATGAGCAACAAACTTGATTCAGTTTGTGATACTGATGTGAGTTTGGTCATTCCCACCTCAGCACAGATTTGCACCAGACACACGGTTTTCTCAACCTCAGTTCCTGTCAGACTACAGCTGAAAGACTCACACGGATGTGAAGGGTCTGTCCACCGATCACCCACCTGAATCCACCAGAGCGAGAACACATATACATGCATTGTTCAATGTATTTTGTGCTAAATTTGGTTACAGCAAGGTCTTTTAAAGGGGCCTCTGAAACTATAGAAAACAAACCACTCCCATTGTGAGTAAATATGTGAACTATTTCCTTTACCTTGTAAGTCTTTCCATTGTACTCGCAACTCTTCTCAACTGTAAATAAGCAAAGAAAACATACTCTAAATCTGTTTTTGCAACGCTGGACCTAATGAAATTACCAATTAAAACAGAATATGTATTTATTCCAAGCACCAGTGGCACTCTACACTAGGATGTTCTGTGGAAAGATTGCAAGATTACCGCAAATCTGATTGTCACAGCAGTTAGAGACCAGGATGGAGTAGGCGCTGCAGACTGGAGTGGGTTCTTGAGGTTTGGGTATGCACTCTTCAGTTCTAGTCTGGTTATTACATGTGCATATGTGACAGTTTGATTCCCATACTGCTCCCACCTTATAGAAAGATGAAAGATTTCTGTTATGCAGTATTCATAATAAACATCTATTTACAGATATTTTTTAACAGAAGTTTGTGGTTTTACTGGTAAATGAACTCTTACCGGCATGGGCTCACCCAATGGCCCTTTACATGCTGAAAAATAAATATGAAATGAAATGCATATCTAAATTATTCAATTTTGAGAAAGCATTACTTATTAAGGAAAACTAGCAAAGTATCTTTGCAAAGTCAATTTTGCTGACAAAATATATTACCTTTAAAATATTACTGTAACAAAACTTTTGTCACATTGCTCTCAGGATTGGCCTATAAATAAAAACGGTTGTTTTGTAATATTTGGTTGAGTTCTTAACTCACTTGGGCATTCAGACACACATATTTGCTTGTGTTCTTCTGCAAGCATCTGGTCATCTGGACAAAAGCAGCCTGATCTCAGACCAACCACAGAGGTTGCAGGCACGCGAACACTGAGGAGGCAATAGAGTGATGGGTGTGAGGTCATACATGGAACATCACGCCTATAAGCAAACATGCAATCCTAACCGTAACCATTATTAAAAATAAATAAATAAAAAATTGAGAAAAAAACATTTTGCTGAAACACAATCTTCTAATTACGAGGTGAAGTATGCAGCAGGACTTGAGCTTTAGAAATGCTTGAATCATTTAAAGTAAAAATCTTTCTCACCTGCCTCGACAGACATCATTTGGAGACTTTCGACACTCGTTGTACATCATTCCTTTCAGACATGTGATCTCTAAAACACAGTGGAATATTATAAGAAGACAGCAACACTTGCAAAGTCTACTACTAAAGCATTTTGTTACTAGAGATAACACAAAATCAAATGCACATGGAAAACACAAAGTTTCGGCCAATAAAATTACAGTAACTTATCAATCAAATCAAGCTATGAATTCCACAAATTCACACTTTCATGAACCTCAAAGGATTCGTAAAGACTTGCAGGTCTTTAAAATTGTGTATACGTAAATTAGTTAGGTTTTAAGATGATGTTGATATGTTGTAGACTTCAGTGTATAAATGTACAGAAATATAAGCGTGCTACTACTATTTTCTGAAACTGTGCTTTCATACTGTTTTCTTACCACAGGAGCCATTAGTAAGGTATCTCCAGTCTACACAAATACCAATCCTTTTGCACTCTGATGCTGCGTACTCCAGAGAAGAACAGGCACCAACACTACTATTGTATGAACAGTAGTCAAACCGGCAATTCTTCTCTACGGACGTAAGATTGATCCTTTCACCACACTCTGCAAACACTCTGAGTAAAAGATGTTAATACCTATTGTTATAGTCACAATGCAACAAGCCAAGCAAAACTATGAAGTTGTTTGTCATTTTATATGAAAAAACACAGGATTTTTACTTAAAAACCCAACTGTTATGCATATTGACCTCAGTGAAAAACCCAACAGTGACTTACTCGTGGTGAAGTAGGTCACATATTGTAGGATGGCAGGTAAGCAGAGGTGGAGGTGGAGTTGAAGGTGGCGAGGGAGGGACACAAGGAACATTGGTGAGCACAGATTTGCAGTAGGGTTTCAGAGGGTCTTCTACAACCCAGTCATATGCAGTCTTATCACAGCAGTTGTCATCTTCAACTACACCGTTTCTTCGTATACACGACTGACCACCACATACACCTGCGAAGTCAAGAGTGTAAGGTTATCACAGTCGTAACACAATCTATTTATGGTCTGTGATATCATATGCACCATGAACCATATTTAATGTGCCAGTTACTTTCTATCAATGGTTAAATGATTTTAATGGCGTACCACACTGTCCTTGGGTGTTGTTTTGGAAGTACTCCATTGCCAAGTTGATTAACAGATTGTTGAAAGGTGTAAGAGAAACATAGGAACGGATAGGCTTGATGTAGATGTAGACCTGGCTACCACTGCTTTCAAACTTGAAGACCTGATCTTCATATGGTGGTTTTATAATCTCCTGGTTTAAAGTACACTGGAAAAAGACAGAGACAATCAGCTTATCATTAAAGCTCAAGTGAACTGTCATCCCCAGTTATTCATAGAAATAGACCAGCAGAGGACTGTGGGTGTGGAGCAAAAAAATCTGTTTTATTGTTAGATATTTGCATATTTGAGTTCCTTGAATTGAGTTAATTTTCTTTGAACTTTCAGAGTTGAGGATGTTTGGTTAAAAAATAATGGTATATGTAATTTGGTATTGATAATAAAAAAGCTGACAGAAAAAGTCAAAAAGTCATTAGTTGCTTATATGTCAATAAGACAGACAGACTGGTCCTTGTCTTTTGGCTAGAATAAAGATAAATATGGGACCACACTTTATCCCCATACAAATGTATGGCTCTGGGAGGCTAATACATTCATAAATTAGTAGAATAACACATTTATTTATTTATTTATTTTTTTTACCATTATAAACATACCTCGACTGTGAACTCCTCTGTTACCATAAGTGTGGCAATATTATTCCAGTATTTTAATGTGATTCCCCTAGAACAGGAATTATCAATTTCCGGCACACAGTAGTAGTTGTCTACAGTAATGCTTAATCTGTGCTGCAGTACTCGCTCCTCCACTAGAGTGTAGGTGCAGTTATCCATGAAGTCAAAAGCGATCCCCTGGAAGGAGATGTAGTGTGGGTCTCCATAAACCTGACACTGACCTAAAAAAGAAACCAGGAAAAATAGAATGATACAAACTTTTGTGAAAGAGTGATGGCATCCCCATCACTCTTCTTATTTTCCATTGTCTGAGCAAATAGATGCCACACCACCAAGTAGTACCACTGGTTTCAATGTGTATATAAAAAAGTCAGTTTACTTACAGTCACACTCCAAGCTCTGACAGCAAGTCTCTTCATCTTTGACCAAAGACTTCTTGTCTCTAGGGCAATCAGTCCTGATTGTGGATGTTGGACAGGTAATGGATTTTACCTCAATCACTCCAGCATTACAGGCTTTATCAGCACAATCCTCTCTCCATGTTTCTCCACACAACCAGCTTTGATTTCGCATCACATCTTTGCACTCACACACTAGTTCAAAAAAAGACATAAACTTAGGATCCCAATCAATCAAAATATGTATCACATATAACTGCTCTTAAGACATTGAACACATTGTAATTAACACTGAATTTAAAGTTTGGAATTTGTTCTATATGTCATTTAAGCTGTAGTAGGCCCCAGGGTTATGTTATCATGTAGTAGTGTAGAGTAGTATTATTACCTGGAGTTGTGTGTTCAGTGGTAGGTATTGTAGTACTGAGTACAGATGTCAGAGAAGGGGTTGTTGTTGTAGGATTAGTTGTTGTATGCACTTCTTGAGATGAATTTGAAGTTAGACTGGTGATAGTAGGGCCAGTGACTATTATAAATTCTAGTGGGAATGATAGAGAAAAAACAGTAAGTACAAAATAAATTTGTGTGGCAGTTTTTTTTAGCACATTCAAAGTGTTTCGTCACTTTGTGTTTATTATGACATTACTGGTGTTATATTTGTAGAAAGCATTGTTTAAAAGTTCATTCAAGCACAAGTTTATATTTGTAGTGGCTTCCACACCTGTTGTAGACACTGTTGATACTGAAGTGTTATATTTTACTGAAGTTGTAGCTTCAGTAGTTGGCTGAGTTGCAGTTGTGTATTGTTTTGTTGGTATGGTTGGTTGAGTTGTGCTCTCACTTGTTGGTGGTTGTATTGTGAATTCTGTTGTACTTTCTGAGGTGGGTGATTGTGTTGTGGTTGTTTCTTCCACTGGAGTTGTATATTGTTCTGTTGTACTGTCAGTTGTTGAGGTACGTGTTGTGGTTCTGTGTTCTGTTGTGGTCTCAGTTGGTGATGGTTGTGTTGTAGTTGTTTGTTCCACTGGAGTTGTATATTGTTCTGTTGTACTTTCAGTTGTTGATGGATGTGTTGTGGTTCTGTGTTCTGTTGTGGTCTCAGTTGGTGGTGGTTGCGTTGTGGTTGTTTCTTCGATTGTAGTTGTATATTGTTCAGTTGTTGATGGATGTGTTGTGGTTCTGTGTTCTGTTGTGCTCTCAGTTGGTGGTGGTTGTGTTGTAGTCGTTTCTTCCACTGGAGTTGTATATTGTTCTGTTGTACTTTCAGTTGTTGATGGACGTGTTGTGGTTCTGTGTTCTGTTGTGCTCTCAGTTGGTGGTGGTTGTGTTGTAGTCGTTTCTTCCACTGGAGTTGTATATTGTTCTGTTGTACTTTCAGTTGTTGATGGACGTGTTGTGGTTCTGTGTTCTGTTGTGCTCTCAGTTGGTGGTGGTTGTGTTGTAGTCGTTTCTTCCACTGGAGTTGTATATTGTTCTGTTGTACTTTCAGTTGTTGATGGACGTGTTGTGGTCCTGTGATCTGGTGTGCTCTCAGTTGGTGGTGGTTGTGTTGTAGTCGTTTCTTCCACTGGAGTTGTATATTGTTCTGTTGTACTTTCAGTTGTTGATGGACGTGTTGTGGTTCTGTGTTCTGTTGTGCTCTCAGTTGGTGGTGGTTGTGTTGTAGTCGTTTCTTCCACTGGAGTTGTATATTGTTCTGTTGTACTTTCAGTTGTCGAAGGACTTGTTGTGGTTCTGTGTTCTGTTGTGCTGTCAGTTGGAGGTGGTTGCTTTGTGGTTGTTTCTTCCATTGGAGTTGTGTATGCTTCCGTTGTACTTTCAGTTGTTGATGGACGTGTTGTGGTTCTGTGTTCTGTTGTGCTCTCAGTTGGTGGTGGTTGTGTTGTGGTTGTTTCTTCCATTGGAGTTGAATATTGTTCAGTTGTTGACGGATGTGTTGTGGTTCTGTGTTCTGTTGTGCTCTCGGTTGGTGATGGTTGTGTTGTAGTTGTTTCTTCCACTGGAGTTGTATATTGTTCTGTTGTACTTTCAGTTGTTGAAGGATTTGTTGTGGTTCTGTGTTCTGTTGTGCTCTCAGTTGCAGGTGGTTGCTTTGTGGTTGTTTCTTCCATTGGAGTTGTGTATGCTTCTGTTGTACTTTCAGTTGTTGACGGATGTGTTGTGGTTCTGTGTTCTGTTGTGCTCTTGGTTGGTGGTGGTTGTGTTGTAGTTGTTTCTTCCACTGGAGTTGTGTATGCTTCTGTTGTACTTTCAGTTATTGATGGACGTGTTGTGGTTTTGTGTTCTGTTGTGCTCTCAGTTGGTGGTGGTTGTGTAGAATATGTTTCTTTTACTGGAGTTGTATATTGTTCTGTTGTACTTTCAGTTGTTGATGGATGTGTTGTGGTTTTGTGTTCTGTTGTGCTCTCAGTTGCTGGTGGTTGTGTTGTGGTTGTTTCTTCCATTGGAGTTGTATATGTTTCTGTTGTACTTTCAGTTGTTGATGGACGTGTTTTGGTTGAGTATTCTGTTGTTCTCTCTGATGTTGGTAGTTGTGTTGTGTATTTCTTTGTGCTCTGTGAGGTTGGTGGTTCTGTTGTGGTTTTGTATTCTATTGTGCTCGCAGCTGTTGGTAATTGTGTTGTAGTTGTGTCTTTAATTGGATTTGTAGAAGATTCGGTTGACTTCTCAGTTTTTGGTTTCATTGTGTATTGTGTTGTTGGGTTTATGTATTGTGTTGTGCTCTGAGTTGTTGGTGGTAGTGTTGTGGCTGTGTGGGTTATTATTGTTGTAGATGGCTGAGCTGTCGATGTGTAATAAACTGTAGTCGTAGTTGTAGATGTAAATGTAGGAGTGCAGACAATTTGTCCATCAAGGCATTTACTAAGCAAAAAGAATACAAATTTTAATTAATAGTAGGTATATAGTTTATAAATATTTTATCTTAAATATCCTTCCAGCACTATAACAAGAGTCTACAAAATGGCTTACCAGCATGTATAAGAAGTACACATTTCATCAGAATGTGACAACACTCTGTTCATGAAGGTACAAGTGCAGTTGTCCAAAGCGGTGCATTTTCCTAGGTTTTCGTCATAATATGGGGTCTCCTCAGGGCATCTTGGGTAGCAACCTGAAATGTCATACATTGCTTGGTGAACATTTAAATAGTTTCCGTGTTTCTAAATTCTAGTAGTACAGAATACTGCAGTACAACAGCGAGATCAAGAAACAGGAACAGAAAAAGGAAAAAATACCTTCAAGTTTTCCTGTAAAGTGGTTATTAGTGCCACAGGTCTTAACCTGGCCACATGGATTGTAATGCCAGGTGCACTGGCCCACTTCATTGTAATAGTCACAATACACCGCTGTGGAGATGAACATGCACTGTAATCACTTGACTAACTAACTAATAACTCAGGTATGCCGTAACCAGGAAATACTCATGCTGGGAACATTCTTAATTGTTTCCAAAGTCCAATCCAATAATTACAATAGAATACAATACGTACGACACAAATCTGGGGTTCTCCAGTTGATGCAGACATCCTTTGCACTGCAAGCCTCTGCGTAAGCTGAGATAGCTGTACAAAAGCCGAGAAACTTTCCCTCAAACTCACAAGAACAGGACTCCAAAACACAGGCTTGGTAATAAGGCTCTGGATCTACCTAGTAGTCAAAAGAATGCAACAATTACTGCCTGGTTCAATAAAGGTTCCACCTTTCCTCATGACAAAAAAAGGAATTGTGAGTACACTGTGTACCTGAACCAACTTTCAAACTCAGAAACAGTTTGATGAACTTGAACAAAGTTCAGAAATGTCTGATATAGAAATAGTGCTTTGTTTAGTTAAAGTCAATTAACCAAGATTAAACATCAGAAACAACATTATTTTATTAACTTTTGGCATGGCAAAGTACCTTCAAATGGCAATCTATAAAGGTGTCCGATCTCAGGATCATACATCGCCGCTGGGCCCAGGCTGCACAGTAGGAGTGTCGTTCACAAGGAAATGTTTCATGGGTTACATCTGAGCATGGCGGAGTTGCTGTCTTCCAACTATTCCCAAAGTCCAAAACACTGAAAACTTCTGAGGAGCTGCTTGTCAGAAGGTCGTTTGTCACCTTTCCATCAAAGTTCCCACAAAGCCCCAACACTCGGCCCTAATGTTCCACAGTTGAAAGAGAACATTGCATGTCTTCACCACTCAGTAGCACATGTTTCAAGATCTATATTCCTTGTTGTTCCTGAACCAACATTCCTATCAAACTATCATAGCCCTGACATTACATATCCACTCCTTGCCTAACCTTGCCCTAAAGAGGAGGTCAGATAGATATGTTCTTAAGAATGTTGTTCAAATCCCAACCTTGGTGCTAAATTAAAAATAAAGATTGTTGAAAACAAGTTTGGTCCAGGGCCAACAAGGATGTTAATTTAGCAACTTTTACTTGTGATTTAACCATTGTTAGCCATTTTATAACATCTGCCATTCATAGTGACCTCTCTCCAAAATTTCATCTTTCTATTTAAGAGAAATACTTTCATTTCAAAACTTTGTACTAGGTCTATCACAACAATAGTCCTAACCAGGCACAATGCAACACAATTTCAGCAATAAGTAATTTGTGTGTTCACACTTAATGTGAAATTCGGGCATCAATCCCAGAAGATAGCCAATTAGAACAGTTTTGCTCACAACGAGTTTAAAAACAAAAGGTTTGCTCCCACTTTAAGCAATTTGCTGAAGCAAAGCAATCCGCCGTCATTCATTTTCAATAACAGTTCTGGCAACGTAAGCAACAGAGACTGTACTTGATGCAGCTTGATACTACGGCAGAGCAGGAAATCATCTGGACAGCTTGCTGCTTTTTGCATGACATCTGATTAGTTCACAATGTAAATTCTGAATATTAATCTTGGACAATAAAATAAATTAAATGTGACTTCTTACTCTCCACTGAGGCTCTAGTTGGATGGTGACCCTAGTATGTTTGTCCCAGATTACAGTGATCCCCAGTCCGGGAACTGAGATAATGATGTAGAGGCCCACAGTTTGGATGGAGTACAGGGGCTCTGCCAACAATGCACCCCCTGCCTGAAGAGTCTCAGTTACCTTCATGTCATTCAACATCAGAGTCACTGCACCCTGTCAAACATTAAGCAAATATTTACAATTTCATAACTGAGTGCATTCTAATTTTTACTTGATAGAAAGTTAAAATATTGACAACATCCAACAACAATTTATATATTCACAGATGGTGATGGTTATAAATACCAAGAGCTCCACTGAGATGGCGCGGGAACATGTCAAAGACTCATCACAACAAGGAACACTCTCAGTTTTAACTGCAAACTGCCCAGTTGAACCAGCGGCCTTATACAAGAAGTATTAGAAGTTAAATATGTTTGCCAATTGTTGAGTGCTACTTTTTACAGCACTTGTGAATTTTACATAAACTAAGTCAGAATCTTTTGGAAAAGATAATTTGTCACATTGCAACCACTCACCTTCACTAGGGTGTACTGACAGTGGCCATCGAATCTGTACCATTTGGAGTCAAAGGTGTGATACTGCCCATTTCCGAACACCTCACATACTCCTGAACATGCCTCATCTATACAAGACCATTCACCACCTCTACATGTGCTGCGACACAAAATCATGTAATTCAAATCCAGTGGTCAGGTGATTTTTACTTCATTGTAATGTTGTAGGGCAGGATATCTCAAAGCATACAATCTTAAAGCTCTCAAATGTCATTCACACTTGTTATCGCTTAGAATCTTGAGGTGCCAAGTTCGAATATATAAAGGAACAAGTGAGATTTGAGCACTACAGTGGACAGGAAGATTTTTAGTAAATATCAACTCAAATTTAGAAGACCTGAAATAATAATGCGCAAGCTGAATGGACTACTTTTAATAGGATTTTTGTTGTTGTTGTTGCTGTAATTTTAAGAGCTTAATAACCTCAATATCCACTTACTTTCCCAGTCAGGAAAAGAGCATCTTGAATATTCTAAAATATCTCCTTTTTTATTCCACAAAAGGAAAACCCTATGGCTTTGGAATGATATGAAGGTGGGTAAATTATTCTTGTAAAATATGTGAACCAAGGTCAAGGCTAGAAGACAGGGTTCTTACCATATTTTACAGTTGGTCTCCACGCTCTGCCCAGTTTCATACACCCTCCCGCTGAATTCACAGGTGCAGTTTTCATGAGCCACACAACCACCGTTATGATCTTCAAAAAGGCCATCTGGACAATAACAACCACTGATACAGCTGTTATCCTCACTCTGTGAATATAGATCAGGAATTTCACTTAAACTCTTGCAGAAAATTAACACTATAACAATTGTCAATTTGATAACAGATGTCAAATTTTAGACAAATGCTTACTACAGGTTTGGTCAAGCTTTCACATGTCCTATGGGCAGTGTCCACTGGTATTTGTGCGCAATCCACACAAATCTTTCCCACTGTGCAATCTAGAAAATAGGAATAGAACTTAATAGAAATATTTGGCAATGAATCATGAAATTTCCAAATTTTAATGGTTCACAAGATTAGTAGGTGTTGCATTACTTGAAAATTCAAGGGTGGAGTTCACTAAAAAGTGACTAACTACATACTGCTTAACTACACAATGCTTGGGTATTTAAACCTAGTTTGATGAATTACGCATACAGCATTATCACACCATTAATTGCAGGCAAACTGCATAGATTTTTGTGGATAAGGTGCATTCTGAAACTCTTAAAAGTATTTGTGCTAAAAAAAAATCACAGTGAATTAAAAGTACGGAGGATGTCTTGTCTAATTTTGTATTATAAATAAATTATCTGTGTTCAGAACTGCCATAGAATTCCGCAGAGGCTATTCAGTTTAAATACACGTACTAAAAGTTGCTATATGCACTGGTTGAGTATTCTGTGTAGTGTGTTTTTGTTGTTGTTTTTCTAAACTGTAAGAAGATGATTTCACTCACTGCAAACTTTAGGACAATGAAGTTGTCCATTTTCACACAAGCTGTAATACAAAACAAACATTTTATACACAGCAAAAGCAAAAAAAAATTGTAAACATTTCTTTGAACTGAGATGTTTTCATCCTTACCATTGGCGTCCACCGATAACCACAGGACCTGGAGGTGTGTCGCCTCCTGGGTGGTGGCAGCTGCACAGCGGGCGAGGGCTGCAGGTCTGTTGGTTGCTCAGGTGAGAATCTGATGTGCATCCACACCCCTCCACAGAGTCATCCACCACCTCACAGGTCAGATCAGGGCCCGAGAGGGAACGGCAGGTATGGTTACACGCCAACGTGGCATAAGTAAACCTCAGATTGCCCATGCACAAAGGAACTGAAAGCCAGAATGATCATTTGTGGAATGAGTCATACACATATGTTCAAAAATAATGTTGTTACAGTGTAATTACACAAATAATTCACAAAAATAATTCGCAAATATATCACAAAAAAAATTCAAAGTTTCATTTGGTTAATTGTGCTAAGGTTGCGTTTTCA